AAAAAAAAAAAAAAAAAAAAAAAAAAAAAAAAAAAAAAAAAAAAAAAAAAAAAAAAAAAAAAAAAAAAAAAAAAAAAAAAAACAAGCACACCCTCATTCTTCCAAAACATCATACATTTCCATCCAAGAACGTCGTGGGCAATTTTCGTTTGTATTTACTAATTAGTACCCGTAAGAGGTATTTTTGGACGCCATCTTGGATTTTGGCCTGAAAATGACCCTTAGGCTAACTTTTGACTAAAAATTCGGTTTCTACGATCAAAAATACATAAGAATCGACACCCGACACGACGTATTTGCAAACTTCAATTTTTTTTACCCCAAAACCGCCATTTTGGCCGCCATCTTGAATTTGAGGGGGTTTGTATGAAATTTGAGTTGGCCATCATCGATTTTCTTTTTCTAGACATCAAAACGAAGAGATTGATGTATCACACAATATGCCTTCACGAATCTGCACACGGGACATATGTTTTGTTACGTATGCCCCCTGACTATTATACGCGGCCCAATATACTCTGGGTCTCAATTATTAAGTGGACTAAAACTTCCCTGCTGAAAAAAACGCGTGGACGTAAACTACTAGAAAAAACAGGTGCGCGGACTAAAACACGTTGACGAGATGTCCTATAACAGGGAGCACGCCGTGTGAGAATTCTGGTGTTTCATAATTGGACGTATTTCTGTCAAACGGAACTATGTGCATTATGACTTGAGCCCTGTTACGCATATATTCTTATGGGTCTCAGGGATCATGTCTTAAAGCACATAGTTCCGTTTGACAGAAATACGTCCAATTTGTCTCACTAAAATATTGAATCTAAAAAAAAATTAGCAACATTCTGCCATGAAAATTTCAGAGACGATAGATCCTTTGCCTCTCCTTTTATCTCTAGCTGTTGCCAATCATTCACCTTTGTAAATTATCTCCTCTCACTCGCTCTCCTAATAAGATAAAAAGGCCATCGTAATTGTTTCATCTCGTTATTTCTATCAAATAATTTTCAAAGTTGTTATGATAAATAAATCGGAAAATTCTGTCTTAAACTCTCAGTCATTTGATCCATTCGACTTACTCTTCTATGCTTGCCCACTGTCCATCGCGGTCTGAAATTCGTATTGTTCCAGTCGGGCTCCTTAAACAGACAATCGAAAACAGAATCAAACGTACAAAAATATTTGGCTCCTAAAAAGAAATCATGTTGTGCGATGGCTGAATTGTTTAACAGTGGCGCGGCGTGCTTTGCGATGTATCGATTGATCGGCCATTTAAACCTATGTAAAATTATCGATAAACAGGGTGTTCGCAGCGACCACATTAATAATCGATTATTTACCACAGCTTCAAATGGAGACATATCGATAGATCGCAAAGCTTGCCACGCCACTGCTGTTTAAGTAATTGTTAAGCATTGAATTGTATGGAAGACAGGGTTCATTGCAGAGTGTTGTTACACCCTTAAGCCGGCTCCAGACTACGCGGCATTCGCCGAGTACCGAGCCGAGTAACGAATATTCGGGGTTCGGGAAGCGACGGGCAGATTCCAGTGTTTTCACGAGTGTACAGCGCCACACTACTCGTGAAAGTCGTACTTGGCTCGTCATTTGGCAAATAACGAATTTCTGATGGGAAAGGACATATGTTCGCCAAGTGAAGAAAATACACTGGAAAACGCTGCACCTCTTCGCCCCCTTCCTACAAAACTATAGCGAACATTCGGCGAGTGAGGACGAGTAGTCTGGATGGCACCCCGATGCTGCCCCGATGTCGCGCACGGTGCCCCTGAACTGACTTTAAATGCGACTTTAATGTACATCAAAAATTGAGGTTGGAGGTTGTAGTGGGGTACTCCCTGATGGGTTTTTGGGCAATTTCGAAATAGGTTGTCGGAGCTCCTGGAAAAATAATCGCATTTTTGTGGTTTTTTAGGGGTAAAATAGGAAAATTGGCCTCGGGGCGACAAATTAAACGCCCTCTCCCTCATCCTTGCTTTGACCGATCTGAATTTTTAGTATGTTTTCACCTAGTATAAGATGGGACTTTTCTGAAATTTTCATGCCCATACACAATTTTCTGCCCCCGCGGCAGCGTTGCCAAGTTGCGAACTCCAAAATATCGAATTTAATGATAAAATGAAGGTTTCGGAGTGTGATTTCCATTCAAAATCAAAAATTCAAATTGTAAGTTGTAGTAGGGTACTGCCTGATGGGGTTTTGGCCAATTTTGAAGTAGAGTGTCTGAGATTTTTTAAAAATAATCGAATTTTTCGGTTTTTTAAGGGTAAAATAGCACACTGAGCACGGGGCGGCAAGTTAAACCTTTTCTCTCTCATCCTTGCCGTGACCGATCTGAACTTTTAGTACGTATTAACCTGGTATAAGATGTGACTTCTCTGAAATTTTCACGCTCATACAAAATTTTTTGCCCCCCGCGGCAGCGTTGCCAAGTTGCGAACGCCAAAATATCGAATTTCATGATAAAATGAAGGTTTCGAAGTGTGATTTCCATTCAAAATTTCACTAGGAATGTGCAAGCTGACAGCTTTCGATTAGAAAAGACATATTTGAGCAATTTAGAGTTGCAGTGTTGCCAGCTTTCGATTTAAAATTCGTTAAAATGACCCAAATCGCGTTGCAACCTCAAGCGCTGGATTTTTATTTCGTTCAGAATTGGTTATTACGGTTCTTCTGTACTCTATGCATTTTGGTACCATGAAAATTATGCCATTACTTACTTGATGGGTGCAGCTAACTCAAAAAGAGAGGCCGGATAAAGCGATGAGTCGGGGGAAAACGAGCGGTTCGGGTTGACAGAAAGTTCTTAAATCTACTCCATCACCAGAAAGTAGAATTTGAGAACTTTCTCCCACCCCCCAAACCTTATCCCTGTTGCAGTCAATCCTTTGAACATCTTATCTGAAATTTTGCCCCCGAATTTTCCCCCAAAAACATGAAAAATAAAAACACAAATAAAATGGTTGGATACCGACGATTCAAATAACGCTATGAAGTCCCTGAATTCGACCTCCTCTCATACAGCGGATTGGATAGTTCGAATCCAGAAGACTTCTTACTGTAAAGAAAATACCTTCGACAATTTAAAGAATAAAAAAATTACAACAGATCACAATAAATTTGAGTAATGTTGAAAATAAACTCCCTCATAAAAAAAAAAATAAACTAGATGACGAAATTATGACTTTTTATGATCGGAACAAACCTGATGGAGTCCATCTAAATTCAAGAGGCCTCTTGATCATCTGGAATCTCATGCAACAGAGTTTGCCATGAATGGTATGTTTCCTTATTTAGTCCAGAAATATTTTATTTTTCGGAATGTCAAACATGTCTTATACAACCAAAAATTTACATAGCATTTTTAATTTCGTCATCTAGTTTATTTTTTTTATGAGGGAGTTTATTTTCAACATTACTCAAATTTATTGTGATCTTTTGTAATTTTCAATCAAAAGGATTGACTACAACAGGGATAAGGTTTGGGGGGTGGGAGAAAGTTCTCAAATTCTACTTTCTGGTGATGGAGTAGATTTAAGAACTTTCTGTCAACCCGAACCGCCCGTTTTCCCCCGACTCATCGCTTTATCCGGCCTCTCTTTTTGAGTTAGCTGCACCCATCAAGTAAGTAATGGCATAATTTTCATGGTACCTAAATGCATAGAGTACAGAAGAACCGTAATAACCAATTCTGAACGAAATAAAAATCCAGCGCTTGAGGTTGCAACGCGATTTGAGTCATTTTGACGAATTTTAAATCGAAAGCTGGCAACACTGCAACTCTAAATTGTTCGAATATGCCTTTTCTTATCGAAAACTCTCAGATTGCACATTTTTCGTGAAATTTTGGAGGAAATCACACCTCGAAACCTTCATTTTATCATCAAATTCGATATTTTTGAGTCCGCAACTTGGCAACGCTGCCGCGGGGGGCAAAAAATTTTGTATGGGCATGAAAATTTCAGAAAAGTCACATCTTATACCAGGTTAATACATACTAAAAGTTCAGATCGGTCACGGCAAGGATGAGAGAGAAAAGGTTTAACTTGCCGCCCCGTGCTCAGTGTGCTATTTTACCCTTAAAAAACCGAAAAATTCGATTATTTTTAAAAAATCTCAGACACTCTACTTCAAAATTGGCCAAAACCCCATCAGGCAGTACCCTACTACAACTTACAATTTGAATTTTTGATTTTGAATGGAAATTACACTCCGAAACCTTCATTTTATCATTAAATTCGATATTTTGGAGTCCGCAACTTGGCAACGCTGCCGCGGGAGCAAAAAAAATTGTATGGGCATGAAAATTTCAGAAAAGTCCCATCTTATACCAGGTAAAAACATACTAAAAATTCAGATCGGTCAAAGCAAGGATGAGGGAGAGGGGGTTTAATTTGTCGCCCCGAGGCCAATTTTCCTATTTTACCCCTAAAAAACCACAAAAATGCGATTATTTTTCCAGGAGCTCCGACAACCTATTTCGAAATTGCCCAAAAACCCATCAGGGAGTACCCCACTACAACCTCCAACCTCAATTTTTGATGTACATTAAAGTCGCATTTAAAGTCAGTTCAGGGGCACCGTGCGCGATGGACGCTCGGCTTCGCGCTCGCGATCCCTTTGACTCGTGTCACAAAAACCGACTTTTAGCGGGTTGGGGCGAATACCGAGCCGAGTGACTCGCCTCGTGTCAACACGAGCCAAGTAGACGCGAATGTTCCATCCAGACTACGCGGGACTTGCCAAATATTCGGTATTCGGCGAGTAATATTCGGCGAATGCCGCGTAGTCTGGAGCCGGCTTATGTCAGGTAGGCGACGGATTGTCTCTCTTTGGAAAAATAAAACATTTGGAGCGGAAATTTTGAAACACTGCAGCGGAGATATGCGGTTTCGCGCACTTTGGCCATCGATATGCATGTTGAAAAAAATAAACGAACCATGTGAGGATTCTAGAATTGCAGAATATTTCTTGGTAAGATATTTAATTTTAAGAAAAACTATGAATATTCTACCAGGGACCATCCATACATTACGTAAAGCACTTTTTCCCATTAATAGACCTC